CAGATCACTTCTGCTGTTAACCTTCTCCCCACTAATTTATTTCCCGGTTCTGTGTCTTTTGCCAACTTGTGCGCCCGAATGGTAATCGGGGGTACTCTCTTCCCCTTTCAGCGCTCAGCTTCCTTTCTTTTATCTTTTGACAGGCGGCAAACTGCTGCTGTCGGACAAACTCCCCCCACGTGACCTTTGCCTTTACAGACAAGACAGGTCACTTCCTCTTTTTGCGACTTCTGTTTTGAATCGCCTCCTTTTGCCCCAACCGCTTTACTTCGACGCAATTTTCCTCCCTTCTGACTGCGATCATCATCCTTTACATCCTTTTTGCTGCTATTTTCTGGTAGCCGTGTGCCTTTTTTTGGGCTACTTCGTCCCGAACCTGCTGATGTCCGGGAGTATGTTCTGAATGGGGACGCCTTTCTTACATTTTTCTTGGCCATCTCATGCTTCAGTACGGCCTCCTTCAAGGTCTTATCCAACTTCCCATTCTTCTCCTGGGATACCGCTGTAATTACTCTTGTGGTAGTCTCTTCATCTATTCGCAAAACCTGTGTTGCGATTTCACACTTTCCTCATCTGTGAAGTATGGATCGCTACAAACCGTGCCAGGATAAGCTACTGCGAGCCTCCGGTTAACGTACGCAAACAGCTCAAACAGCGGTTCCTCTTTTCCCCACTCCACTTTGCTCACATTATTTTGCAACCTAATGCGGGTGGTCCTCGAGGAATCCACTATCTCTTTCCTCAAAGCCTGCACAACAACATCCTTGAATGTTCCTTTCTCCGCACATAGGCTGGTATCCTCATGAACGAATCTAGGGCGAATCCCATCAGATAGGAACGCAAGTAGCGAACTTGCGTCCGCTTCGTATCCATGCCTCAATTTAAGTTCTTCAATAAAATCATCAAATTTTCGTTTCACTCCTCTCCCCTTTCCCCGAATACTTTTCCAGAGGCGGGAAGTTGTGACTGCATCCGCTGCGCTATCTGCAGCATTGCCTGCATCCTATTTGATTTGTCGCTTTCATCGCCCACACTGGTTCCCAGTGGTAAGTCATCAGTGAAACTGTCCTGATTACCTGATCCGTTCGATTTTTGGTGCAAATTAGCGCTCCTTACTCCTACATTCTCGCCACTCTCTGAGCAGTCCGTCTCACTTTCCGCCGCAGTCATCATTTTTTCG